CCTCAGCAATACGTACCGGTGGGGGCAATCAATAAGGGTCGCCTCCAGAGGTATGTAGTGCTGGGGGCGATAACGGTCGCCCGTAGAGGTAAGTAACTCTAGAGGCGACGTACCGTTGTTTGTCGCCCTCAGCGGTACGTACCGCTGGGGGCGATCAATAAGGGTCGCCTCCAGAGGTATGTACCGCTGGGGGCGATAACGGTCGCCCGTAGAGGTATGTACCTTTAGGGGCGACTGTTGTTTGTCGCCCTCAGCGGTACGTACCGGTGGGGGCGATCAATAAGGGTCGCCTCCAGAGGTATGTAGTGCTGGGGGCGATCAATTACGGTCGCCCGTAGCCGGTAAGTAACTCTAGAGGCGACGTACCGTTGTTTGTCGCCCTCAGCGGTACATACCGCTGGGGGGCGATCAATAAGGGTCGCCTCCAGAGGTATGTACCGCTGGGGGCGATAACGGTCGCCCGTAAAAGTATGTACCTCTAGGGGCGACTGTTGTTTGTCGCCCTCAGCGGTACGTACCGCTGGGGGTGATCAATAAGGGTCGCCTCCAAAGGTATGTACCGCTGGGGGCGATAACGGTCGCCCGTAGAGGTTCTTTATGTCTATGGGTATGTACCTCTAGGGGCGACTGTTGTTTGTCGCCCTCAGCGGTACGTACCGCTGGGGGCGATCAATACGGGTCGCCTCCAGAGGTATGTTCCGCTGGGGGCGTTAACGGTCGCCCGTAGAGGTATGTACCTCTAGGGGCGACTGTTGTTTGTCGCCCTCAGCGGAACGTACCGCTGGGGGCGATCAATAAGGGTCGCCCCAGAGGTACGTACCGCTGGGGACGGCAAACAACGGTTGCCCCCAGAGGTACAATTTTCACAAATTTTGACCCAAATTTTCGACACATTGTTCCTGTACAACGACACATCTGTCCAGAAACCCCCCAAACTCATTAAATTTACACCACTATGACTTCGGGCCTTTTTTTTTTGTTTTTTTTTTTGGTGCTTTTACGGGGGGGGGGGGGACGCCCCCTTGGCCCCCCCCCCCCCCCTCGTGACGCCCATGATTTCCTCCACTATGATTGTTCAAGATATAGGACACAAACGTGTTGAAAATCAACGATAACCCTTAAAGGATAAATTTGATGTGATTTAAAGAAATACAGTGTACTAATCGCGAAAAATTCAATCTAAATTCAAGTCACTTTTAATTTCTTCCATTTATTCCAATTTAATCTAAATTCAAGTCACTTTTAATTAAAGAAAAATAAAGCGGAAATCGACGAGGACCCTTGAGGAATAAATTTAATATGATTTAAAGAAATACAGTGTACTAATCTGGGAAAAAATCAATCCAAAAGATTGCGGAGAAGATAACCCAGTAAAAAAACACATTGCATTGGATTGCCAGCATCAATTTCTTTCAATTAAAGAGGGCGCGCTACACAAATACTGGTCACCACCGAAGACTTTCTTCAACGCGGATCACGATCTACCCAATGAACGAAGTCGGCATTAAATCATAATAAATTAATTATTTGAGGGTTATCGCAAATTTTCAACAGGTTTCTGTCCTATATCCCCAACAATCAATGGACAAAATTTCAATTCAGTGCACTGTGTTGTTCTTGAGTTATCGTCTCCACAAAGTGTGTTTTATTTTTATTTACTTAATGCCGACTTCGCTTCGTTGGGGCAGATCGTGATCCGCGTTGACAATTAGTCTTCGCTGGTGACCAGTATTTATGTAGCGCGCCCTCTTTTTGAAAGAATTTGATGTTGGCAACCATTCTATGCGGTTTTTTTCCTGGGATATCGTCTCCACAAAGAGTGCTTTATTTTCGTTCTTTTGAATTAAATTTTTCCAGATTAGTACACTGTATTTCTTTAAATCATATTAAATTTATTCTTCAAGGGTTCTCGTCGATTTCCAACAGTTTTGTATGCTAGTGCTTTATTTTTGTTTAATTCAAAGTGACTTGAATTTGGATTGAATTTTTCGCGATTAGTACACTGTATTTCTTTAAATCATATTAAATCTATTCTTTAAGGGTTATCGTTGATTTTCAACACGTTTGTGTCCTATATCCTGAACAATTAGTGAATGAAATTTCAATTCAGTGCACTGTGTTGTTCTTGAGTTATCGTCTCCACAAAGAGTGCTTTATTTGTATTTAGATAAAAGTGACTTGAATTGGGATTGAATTTTTCGCGATTAGTACACTGTAATTCTTTAAATCATATTAAATTTATTCTTTGAGGGTTCTCGTTGATTTTCGACACGTTTGTGTCCTATATCCCCAATAATTAGTGGGCGAAATTTCAATTCAGTGCATTGTGTTGTTCTTGAGTTATCGTCTCCACAAAGAGTGCCTTATATTTGTTTAATTAAAAGTGATTTGAATTTGGATTGAATTTTTCGCGAGTAGTACAATGTATTTCTTTAAATCATATTAAATTTATTCTTTGAGGGTTCTCGTTGATTTTCAACACGTTTGCGTCCTATATCCCCAACAATTAGTGGGCGAAGTTTCAATTCAGTGCACTGTGTTGTTCTTGAGTTATCGTCTCCACAACGTTTGTTGTATTTTTATTCACTTAATGCCGACTTCGCTTCGTTTGGACAGATCGTGTTCCGCGTTGACAATGGTCCTCGCGGTGACCAGTATTTGTGAAGCGCGCCCTCTTTTTGAAAGAAATTGATGCTGGCAATTTCAATTCAGTGCAATGTGTTTTTACTGGGTTATCGTCTGCACAAAGAGCATTTTATTTTTGTTCTTTGGATTGACTTTTTCCAGATTAGTACACCGTGTGTATTTCTTTGAATCATATTAAATTTATTTTTCAAGCGTTCTCGTCGATTTCCAACAGTTTGTGTCTCCTTGTGCTTTCTTTTTGTTTAATTAAAAGTGACTTCAATTTGGATTGATTTTTTCGCGGTACAGTGTTTTTCTTTCAGTCATATTAAATTTTATTTTTTAAGGGTTCTCGTCGAATTTCGACAGGTTTTTGTCCTATATCCCGAACAATTAGTGGACAGAATTTCAATTCAGTGCACTGTTTTGTTCTTGAGTTATCGTCTCCACAAAGAGTGTTTCATTTTTCTTCACTTAATGCTGACAGATGCGTTTGGACAGATCGTGATCCGCGCTGACAAAAGTCTACGCAGGTCACCAGTATTTGTGTAGCGCGCCCTCTTTTGGGGAGAAATTGATGTTGGTAAAATGCGCAGTAGTGCCCTGACAGACTGTAGTTTTTGCTTTTGTTCATGGGCGTCGCGAAGGGAAAGGGGGGGGGGGGGGGGGGGGGGGGAAGGGGAAGGGGAAGAAAAGAAAAAGAGGCGCGTATCCCGTATTCATATTGTTGTTAATTTGATGGGTTGGGAGGGGGCAAATGTCCCTGCCCACCCTCGAAAAATGATCAGTCGGGAAAATGCTGGAGGAAGTTTTGGGAAAGAAATGTGCTTTGCCCCCCCCCCCCCCCCTCTCCTAGAAAAAAATGCAAAACATGTTATCTTTCGTTTTCTTTTCAATTTTGGTGGGTTGACCATTGAATTTCGAGAAATTCTCACCCCCAAAGAAGACGACCCCTATTTTTTCAAAGCGGAAAAGTCACTAACCATTTTGAAAAAAACGATCCCTCAACATGACAAAGTAGCGCCACTCGGTTTCGAGCCTAATTGCATTAGAATGCTTAGAACTGGAAGCCCCAAGTCTGGGCCAGAGGCTCATTGCCATATCTCTTCAATTCCCCAATTATGGCTCTCAGAACCCTCTGAGCTCGGTGGATGGGTTCAGGCCTATTATGTCAGGCAATTATTTTGCGCAGGTGCGCAAAAATGAAAGCCTTTCATTGAAGACGATAAAATCATGATGATGTTTTTTAAGATGCGATTTAATCAAGATATTGTATAAATGATCTATAAACCACAGAAGGTTTGTACATTATTTCATGCAATAATAACAGCTCATTTTGCATGGGTTAGCTGACTTATGGAGAAACAAAAATCGGGAGAGTTTAATTTGCAGCACATTTTCAATCCCAATTTCAGCACACCCGCACATATCGAAAGTTCTTGGTGAAAACTTACTCTTGGTCCAAATACGAAAAAGAAAATCTCCGTCTCACAAAATTATCATTCGTTTGAAGGGATACAAATTATATTTCGCGATTCTCTGAAATATCACAAGATTCTTCCCCACATTTTTTTCCTGATTTTCCAGTAAACTAAAATAAGGTCGGTGTTTTCAATAACAGTCAGTGGTGAACAGTCCCTCTTAAAACAGAACTGTTTATTTTGGTTGGTATAGATAAAAAAAATATTGATTGGCGCTTTATTGAACAAAATAATGGGCCAATGTTATATCAGGGTTCGAATTTAGCGGTATATAGCCCGCTTGCCAAATCAGCGGCGGGCTAGTCAAATTATTCCTTAAGTAGCCCGGCTGGCGAGTCAAAATTATTGGGCTACGGCAAAGATGAAAGGACAAGAAGAAACAATCAATTTGTGTCTAATTTTGTTAACTATTCCAGGTTAGATTATTAGATCTGTTTATTAAAAACACTGACCGTAGATTGCCTCAGGATACACGTTTTACATGTATGCACATTGTTGTTTATGAGAACCTCTTTAAAAGAAAAACCGGCGGGCTAGTGAAAATGCCCGCGGGCGCAGCCAGAACAGTCTGTTTCAGTAGCCCGGTTGGCGGGGAAAAAAAACCAAGTTAAGGTCGAAACCTGGTCAATATCAGTTGTAATGAATAATATGTATCACTCTTTACCGAAGGAGTAAAATTTAATTATGATCGGGCTAATCAATTAATTAGCACAGAACTAATGTCTTTAGATTTGGTACTCCTGAAAAAAAGGCCAGCACTGCTCCATTCACACGGCTCACTAGAATTTGTCTTCAAAATTCAAAATTCGAGTTTACTTGCAGTCACATAAACCGGACAATTTCCGCCCACGTAATCAAATTGACATGAATTTAAAAGAAAAAAATTCCACTCACCATACTTCGACTTCACTACGACTTCGCCTTCCTCTTCGTGATCGTCTGAAGTTGTGATCTTTGTCATCTTCAGTCCTCCAAAATTATGGCAAGTCCTACAAAATTATAGGCTCCCAGCCGAAGGAATCTCTTGTATTAAATTACTGGAAAACCTTCTACAAGCGACTCGTAAAATCTACGAGGAAATAAAACGAAGATAGTGTTACGAAACCGGTGTATATTGTCTCATCCACCACCTCAGCTCACGGCAAACGAATTCATCCAATCCGCTCCGTCTTTAATTCCGGGTTGGGGTATTATCGTCAAATGACGTGATCAAGAAAATCCCCAACCGACTAAAGCAATGGAAACGATTCATGTTTTTTGTTCAGTTCCAACTAGGCGGTAATAAACCTTTGTTGCAATGGCACGTGACTTGACAATAGGTGATTGTATTGGAGTTCAAAGGAGATGTGCGTGCTATATTGTTCAGGTATAAAGGCAAATAATAGTCATGTTAAACAAGGTTGTGGCAACAACGCACTGTGTGCAGGGAAACTGCAAACACTTCACAACTATGTCGTGAAAACAGCGTGTTGAAAATGGTCTGACGTGTTCATTCTTATTTATACAGGGTGTGACGAAAAATCTAGAGTTTCAAAAGTTAGCTGACCACGTTTAGTGCGGAGATTGAGATCGAGTTGTCAAAACCGCGCATACAGAGAATTATTCTGTTCGTACTCTTTTTTGGTTCAAAATCAACCGTAACATCGAGAAAAGTTAAACAGAATATTAAATACAGTACAGTTATAATTTTGTATTATGCCGGATAAAAACCACACGACAATCATGACAAAAACCCAAATTGTTCGTTTAAGTTTGAATTTTCGTCTACCGATTTGTCATTATGTTTAACATTACGAGATTTAATTTCATAAGAAGCCGTCAAACAATGAAGTTGTATTGACCGTAACAAAACAGTGTTTTAAGCGCGACAAATGCAATTTGAATGAATTAAAATGATGTGGATTTATCGCGTGTAAAACACTACATTGTAACGATCATATATAATTTTTATTGTTGGACTGTTTCTCATGATATTCAAAACCCCTCTGTTATACATCGTGGAAAATAAGTGCACAAAATTTCAGGTTAATACATCATGTATTTCTTTAGTTGTTGTTCGGAAAACGAGTTGTTATTTTTGTTCTTATGAAATCAAATCTCGTTTTATTAAACATCATGACAAATGAGTAAACGAAAATTCAATTTAATACATCTTGTAGTTTTTGAGTTGTTGCCCCCAAACGAGTTTGGTGGTGAATAATTATCGAGACCACTATTAAATGCAGCGCGCCCTCTATTGAAAGAATATTGGTGCTTATGCCACACTGTTGAACCAAAAATAACAACTCGTTTTCCGAACAACAACTAAATAAAATACAAGATGTATTAACCCTAAACAGAGGTGTATTAAATATCAAGAGAAACAGTCCAACAATAGAAATAATATGAACGTAACAATGTAGTGTTTTACACGCGATAAATCCACATTGATTTTCATTCGGATTGCATTTGTCGCGCTTAAAACACTGTTTTGTTACGGTCAATATAACTTCATTGTTTGACGGTTTCTTATGAAATTAAATCTCGTATTGTTAAACATAATGACAAATTAGTAGAAGAAAATTCAATTCAATACATCTTGTATTGAAGCAGGTATTGGTGCGAGATAGACCAGCCGGATGCTGCACTATTTAACAAAAACAACAAAGATCGTTTTTCGAACAACAACTCAAGAAATACACGATGTATTAAACTGAAATTTCGTGCTACGTCTCTTTCTTCTTCTTCTTCTTCTTGTGGTCAGAACAGGATTGTGGGGAAAAGTTGCTCACTCTAATTTGAGGTGTGATAAAAATTGGAGAGCTGATTTTTTTCTCAGGTGTTCAAACAAAAGTTTACTTAGGGATCCTAGATTTTAGGAAAATCAAAATTCGCATTTCATGGAAAAGAGCTCTCTTTCGTGATTAGAGGGGAAATATTTTTCCTGCCTTTACGTAACTTGAGAAAAAAATGTTCAGGCATTTATAACAGAATTAGGCTTTCATGTGTGCGACTGAGGGCGGAGATGGGGGTCGGGGGGGGGCGGGGGGGATGCACCACCCCACTTTGTTATATTAAAAAAAAATATGGGACACAAAATGTTTGAAAATCGACGGGAACCATTGAAGAATAAATTGAGTATGATTTAAGGGAAAACAGTGTACTAATCGCGAAAAATTCAATTTGAATTCGAGTCACTTTTAATGGAACAAAAATAAAGCACTCTTTGTGGAGACGATAACTCAAGAAAACCACATTGCACTGATTTGAAATCGCGTCCCATAATTGACTGTGATATACGACACAATAAATTTGAAATTCGACAGAAACCGTTAAGAAAAAAAAATTAATACAACAAAAACAAAAACTTCAGTGCGTAAGGGCGCTCCCGTACATTTTACCAACAACAATTTCTTCCAAAAGAGGGCGCGCTACACAAATACTGGTCACCATAAAGACTTAACTGTCAACGTGGATCACGATCTGCCCAAGCGAAGTCGGCATCAAGTGAACGAAAATATAACACACTTTGTGGAGACAATAACTCAAGAACAACACAGTGCACTAAATTTAAATTTCGTTCAATAATTGTTCGGGATACAGGACACAAACGTTTCGAAAATCAATGGGAACCCTTGAAGAATAAATTTAATTTGATTTAAGAACATACAGTTTATTAAAATTCAATCCGAATTCAAGTGAACAAAAAATAAAGCACTCTGTGGAGACGATAACTCAACAAAAACACATTGGTCGAGATATGGGACACGAAATATTTGAAAATCGACGGGAACCAATGAAGAATAAATTGAATATGATTTAAGGAAATACAGTGTACTAATCGCGAAAAATTCAATTCGAATTCGAGTCACTTTTAATGGAACAAAAATAAAGCACTCATTGTAGAGACGATAACTCAAGAAAAACACATTTCACTGAATTAAAATTTCGTCCAATAATTGTTCTGGATATAGAACTCAAAAAGTTTGAAAAACATTTGAAGAAAATACAGTTTATTAATCGCGAAAAATTCAATCCGAATTCAAGTCACTTTTAATGGAACAAAAATAAAGCACCGTGAATATGCTATTGAAAGCTTATTATTGAAGACGATTGAATCATGTTTTTAAGGTGCTATTTAATCCAGATATCATATAAATTATCTGTAAAAAAATAAAGAAGGTCTATACATTATTTCATGCAACTAATAACGGCTCCTCATGGCATATATAGATATGGGTTAGCTGACTTCTGGAGAAACACAAATCGGTAGAGTTTAATTTTCAGCACATTTTCTATCCCAATTTTAGCACACCCGCACACATCGAAAATTCCTGGTGATAACTTATAACTCTTGGTTCAAATACGTATCCGCATTCAAGGAAATTCCCATTCCCAAAATGTCGTTCTTTTGAAAGGATAAAAAATATATTTCGTGATTTTCTGAAATATCACAAGATTCTTCCCACATTTTTCCAGAGCTGACCAGTTAAATTAGAAAATAAGGTCGGTGTTTTCAATAAAAGTCACTACTTTGCAAGTGGTGAATAGTCCCTTCCCATGACAGAAATATTTATTTTGGTTGTAGGACATGTCTAAGATCAAGATTGTCGCTTGCCATGGAACAAAATAATGGGGCCAATAATCAGTCATAATGATGTATTGGTCATTACCGAAAATTTTAATTATGATTTGGCTAATCAATTCGCACAAAACTCACTATTGTCTTCAGATCTGGTACTCCTGAGAAAGGGGCACTGCCACAATTCACACGGCTCAAGAATGTCTTCAAAATTCGAGTTTACTTGCAGTCACAACGGCTAAACCGGACAAGTTCCACGCGCGTGTCAAATTAGACATGAATAATCCAAAAAAAAATCCACTCACCATACTTCGACTTCACTGCAACTGCGCCTTCCTCTTCGTGATCGTCTGAAGTTGTGATCTTTGTCATCTTCAGTCCTCCAAAATTATGGCAAATGCTTCAAAATATATAGGCTCCAAGTCGAAGGAATCTCTTGTATCAATTGATTGAAAAAATTCTACGAGCGACTCGCAACCAAAATCTACGAGAAGGAAGTACCACGAAGATATTAATTGTTACGAAACCAGCGTATTGTCTGGAGCTCCTGGCGGCGGCCTCAGCTCACGGCGAAAGAATTCATCCAATCCGCTCCGTCTTTAATTCCGGGTTCATACAGGTTATTATCGTCAATTGACGTTCAAAGAAAATCACCTACATGGACAATGATTGTTTTTTTAAGCGCATTTCGTCATGTTTTTTGTTTCGTTCCAACTATAGGTGGTCATAAATCTTTGATGGAACGGCACGTGACTTGACTAGGTGATTTTATTGGGGTACGAATGGTGGACGTGCTATATTGTTCAGGTACAAAGCAAATAATAGTTCAAGTTAAACAAGGTTGTGGCAACAACGCACCGTGTACAAAGAGACTGCAAACACTTCACAACAATGTCATGAACACTGCGTGTGGAAAATGGTCTGACGTGTTCCTTGCTATCAATTTTATGTGAACTATAATTGTAAAGGGTGTGTCGCCAAATCTTGAGTTTCAAAAGTCAGCCGACCAATTCTTGGCAGAGAGTCGGTCGCGTAAGCAAGTCGGCCAAAAATGAAGAGCGCATGCGCAGATTTATCGCGCGCGTACAATTTGCCAGAAACGTAACGACATTCCTAAGTTGATTGAAAAATATTTGGCCAAGAAAAAAAAAAAAGCACAATCATGACAAGATTTAAATTGTTCGTTTTTTTCCCGCTTCTTCCCAACTAACCTTGTTTTATGTTCCGACGAATGGCTTGGAAGCGTATACCAACCGGCTCTCTGGAAATTTTGGAAAAAAAATGTATAGACATTTTGAAGAATCTTATAGTTTTTTTCTATACGCTATGTCCCAATAAAAGTGTCCGTCTGACTGTTTTTAAAATAACTACAAAACCATGAGGTCAATTTTGAAAAAAAAAAATTGGTTGTGCAGATACTCCTAAGCCTCGGCCTCAACCCCAATGAGTTTCATTTTATTTCAGTCACGCATCACTGCACAATTGTCAATTGATAACAACAACATTTTTGGACACTGTGACCAAGTTCCACGCTTATGTAAATCAATTTCAGTGCTGTGTTATGTATAAGCTGTGTAAAATCCTGCATGTTTTGAAAAAAAGGCTGATGTGGTTTAGGATTTGAATCATTTGCCCTTGAGCATTAAACTGATGTCTTGCCATGATGACTGATAGACAGGCAAATGATTCCAATCCCAACCGCAGCCCTTTCCACAACATTACAGATTTTACACAGCTTACATAACACAACACTGAAATTGAATAAGGCATGGAACTTGGTTACAATCTCCCAAATTTGATGTTGTGATCAATTGATAATAATATTGTGCAGTGATGCGAGACTGACATTAAATGAAACTCATAGGGGTTGAGGCTAAGGCATAGGAGTATCTGCACAACCAAAACAATTCAACATTGAACTCATGGTTTTATAGTTATTTCAAAAATAGTCAGACGAACACTTTTGGAGGGGGGGGGGCATAATGTAATGTTTTCGTCTGTTGAGTTGGAACAGTGAGCAATTTATCAAGAAATTTCCCTTTAAGACAATGAGAGTATCGCAACGGTGTGCAGCAATAGGCCCACTTGTTATGCCATGGGATATTTTAAACAAACCACTGAAGTTAATAGTCTTAATTCAATACTGGATTTGGATTTTGATGGCCTATAATGCGGCCGGTAACGCTTACCGGGGATTGGGACGGCCCCCGTTTGGGGAACAAATTTCAATTATCAAGTCTTGGACCGAGACTAAGGTTTATGAGGCTCGAGTCCAGGGTTCAAGTTTGTATAGGACATTTGATATACGGACAACACCTTAAATTAATAGACGTGCTTCGTCCATAAACGACCACCTATCGCGTGCAACGAGTACAGAGCGATATTTAGTTGCATGTAGATGTACTGAATCACACATCACCAGTATTTCTAAATATACTAAAAATCATAACTGTTGAAGTCAAGGGCAGATACAGAGCACCAATTTTTTTAGGGGGGGGGGGGCAACAATATTGTGGTCCCCCCAAAAGTGGGTCAAAAAAAATTACGGCGTGGGGTTCGGGGCACGCTTAAGGGCCCGAGAAGATCATGTTTGGATTCTACATGTTCTGTGGTGCGATCAGAGGCAATTTCTGACCACCTTGACCGATTTTTTTTTGGAGGAAAAGATGGTGGTGTACGCAGTGCCTGTCTTTATTGCGACGTCACTTAAAACAAAAATTGGGTTCTTTTTTTTTGGAGGGGGATGGCCCCCGACGCCCCCCCCCCCCACCCACCCCCTGAGATCCGCCCTTGGTTGAAGTTATATCATTAATTCTCGGCGAGTTTAGTCCGAGGCCTGTAAAGTTACCCCGACCACCTGGTGTGAAAAAAATTGACAATGATAATTATGTGGATATAAAATATTGACATTTGTTTTTCTTTGCCCACGCATAGAAACTGAATAATCGTGAGAAAACAATGCATAGAAATCGTGGGAAACCGTTGTGAACAAAACATTGGGCCCATTTCGCGTTTAAGGGCACTCTATAGGAAAAGAAAATAGTGCTTTATCGAAGTTTAAACACGTTGTGTACACATATTCACTTGTTAAGTCTATCTATGACATGTTCAAGTGTTGTTCACATTATGAGCCTGTCACTAGTACCATCAATAATAACTTGTGTAAAAGTCAAATCTATATTCAAAGTTACCTTTTCTTAGCCAGGTGATAAAACGTGATAAGAGCAGCCTGTCATTCCACTGATAATCTGAATAGTAACTTTCAATTTTCACTACGTGTATTATACTTGACGGTACTAACAACCTTTTGTCGTGTACCTAAACATGTCAGAGAGGGGTCTATAGCCGATTTTCGGCTAACTTTGACAGATTTTTTGTTAAAAAACGAGTTTGACAAAAACAATTGACAGAATAGATTTTCTTGGCAGATGTCTGGCAGAATTCTGCAAAAATTGATGTTTTACAGAACAACAGCAAATTTGAAGAAAAATTGTACATTTGTTCGATAAAAAAGCTTCAATCTTTTTAAACAAACCCTTGCATAATGGGTCCGATTGGCTGGTCTAGGTGCCGAGGTTACCGGACGAGGTCGTGACGCAACCTTGTTTTGCCAGAAATATACGCCATTTTCATAACATCTTTATGTGACTATAGATTGTTTAAAATGTAATTTTGAACCTTAAATAAGGCAATACTACAGCACCTGCATGTGATTTTAAGTGATTATAGTGTACTTCGAGTAATTCCTTCGAGTAAAACATCGGGCGGTAAGTTGAAGAGCATGCACGCGTCAGAGAAATCTATAAACCTAAACATGCCGTTGATTGAAACAAGTGGAAAAGTAGGTAAAAAGTGTATGGCTTAACAATGGTAGAGGACAGACACAAAAAGGAGAACAAAAGATCCTTTCAGTCATCGAGCGTTGGGTATTTTGTTGAAAACGGTCCTGGATCGTATACGGTCATGTGCTTACTGCTTAGTCTATGATGAGATAGTGTTATAATTATTATGACCAAGGGAAACACAAAGCATTGTCCTCTGGCGTATAGAAATTCACGACTGGGTGTCTATGATGGGATAGTGTTATAGTTATTATGATCAAGGGAAGCACAAAGCATTGTCCTCTGGCGTATAGAAATTCACAACTGGGTGTTTAAGTTTCCAAATGTGTTCAAGCCCCGAAACAGTTTTTACAGCCCATTGACGCACAACTTCCTCAACGCACACTTTTCTGTATTGTTTTCGAATTCCCGTTACTTTATTGTATATATTTATAAAATACGAGTAAAGACAGAAAAAAGACATTTTAAGTACTGTGATGTAAAAAGTCAATAAAATACAGACACCATTGATACATAGAGACAAATGCGCTTAAATATACAAAGATACCGATGTTAAATAGATATGGAAAGTGAAAATATAGATTTTTGTTGCATATAGGATACACCTGATTTATAGACGACGAATAGTTTTTTTTAAACATATACACTTCACAGTTTTGTTTTAAAGGCATTGTGATCATGTGCATTTATCCCAAAAGTAAGCTACTAAATTATTACCAAAAAGCTTACTTGGATTATTAAGATCGTACCGGTACTAAACACCCCGTGAAATTGTGTCATCTGGCTTGCTGTCATTTAGAAGAAATCAAGAAATGTAGGTTATTTCCAACGAGAAGTCAATTGACTGATTTTTGGAATAAAGAGTGCTATTGACGAAATCGTGTTTCGTGATCAAATGGTATGTGCATGTTTTTTTTTTACTGTTTCCTCGAAAAGTGTAATATCCACTGAGCTGAAACTTCAACAGGTTAGGTTTTGAACATTCTTCTTTGGGTTTCGAGTGGTGTTATTATTAAAAGCAAACTTTCCTATATATGTCTTTAAGTTCTCTGCTATTAAAACTTTCTCTTTGAATTTCGAGTGCTGTTATTATTAGAAAAGAACAAAATGCATGAAAAGCAAATTATCCTTCATGTCTGTAAGTGCTCTGCTATTAAAACCAAGCAATAATGTCGAATTGCAATCCTTCTTTGAGATAAAACAAATGAGAGATTGAGACAAGTTTAGGTAATTAACAATATCTAACACAGAGGTAAAATATATTGCAACACGTGACAAAGAGATTAAAATAGATATAAACAGCATGGAGAATTGTGTTCATTAGATCTTGAACAAGTGCAGAAAGGCATAACTTAATGCATCATTACTGGCATTTTTGAAAGTTCCCGAGTTGACTGGCATTGATGGAATTTGATAGAATATGGTGGCATTTAATTGAAATTGATATAATCCGATTGAAATCGATAGAATCTGATGGAAATTGATAGAATTTGATGGAAATTGACAAACGGTAGATTTTGAAGGGTTCTTTTAATCTGATCAGAAATATGTTCCACGTAAACAGTGGTCATGTTGCACTCACTGCGATCAGGTTTTAAAAGAACGCAAATAGAAAGTCCACAATTTCATTGTTCAAGATCTATTTACTGATTGAATTCGATGGAATTTGATGGGATCACGACTTCAGGTGTTTTTTCTTTCTGATAAATGGTAGAGTGAAAGAATTTATTGGATGCAACAGCAGACTCTTATACATGATTTACATGTAGAAATACAAAGTAATTCAGAAGTTCAGCCCAAAACCAGAGGAAAATATTATGTTACACTTTACATGATAAATATTTTATATAATTGATCATCATTCTTCAGCCATGAATATTAAACAACTCCTTCATTGCATTTGTTTGCATGCTTTTATAAATCAAATGAGCTAAAAATACTCATAAATTGCCAAACAGAAGTACTGTTTTTTTCAATACTACAATTTCCCATGATTATTTGATAAAAAACAACACCTCTGATATACAGATGACACGTTCATGTGCAAATCTTCTTTACAATACCCTTGAAAATATTTACACCAATTATTGCGATGTCATTTTCTATTGTGTGTTGTGATTGGCTCATTTGTTGCATGAAACAGTCTGTTATCCAATCAGATGGAAGCTACATGAAATCCAAAATTCAATAGCTAACACCACTGTAGGTTCTTTGAGGTTTCTTACTGCCAGTGAAATATTGCAAGCAGCAATGTCATTTTCTATTGTGTTTTGTGATTGGCTAATTTGTTGCATGAAACAGTCAGTTATCCAATCAGATTGAAGCTACATGTAATCTAAAATTCAATTACCACACCCATATAAGTTCTTGGAAGTTTCTTACAGAGGGGTGTAATACTGTTGTTTCGTCAGGCACATAAAAAGGTCCTAAATGTACATGGCTTGAAGAATAAGTTTACGGTCAACCCTAAATTTGCAAGGATGAACGAGTTTTCTGGTTAAGGGCACTGATTCGTGGTCTGCGAGTAAAGCTGTGGGTTCAAGTCCTGGCGGGGTCATGGTATTAATAATAATAATAACAGGACTTGTGACGGACTTATAATCAACTTGCGATTGATAAACTGGACAAAACCAATACCATTTTGTCAACCGTGATACCCAATACATTATTTATTTTTTGTTATAAAATTAGATAAATTGAATCCCCAAGTCAAGAAAAAGACGGCATTAATTGCTCATCATACACAAAACATCACAATATTACAAATACATTTTTACAACTAAAAATTGTACAGTCAAAGTAACACATGGTTATTATCCAATAATAATTTCTGATGTCACCATCCCTGACCCCTATATATGAGAAGTAACACTATAAGTAACAAGTCTCCCGACTATTCGGTCATCTCCATTCCTATTACCATCTACAAAAATAAAACAAACTTTTTCACTAAATTAAAATAAACCTGTTGAAAACTATTTTCTCCCCCAAAAATGTAAGAAAAACAATGGTACATAAAACCGTAAAACAAGTATTTTTTAAGGATATCTTGAAAATATTCCACACACGCAGTGACTCACAGAATGTGGAGACACAATTTTGAAGCCTTTTTTTCCGGAAAACTTTCAAATTTCCCCCAACATTCGCATAAGTGGATAAAAATACAAATGTTTTAGACATTGAAAAAAAGTACTATTTAAATATAAAAAAATGGCAGTTTACAAAAATATGTGACTGACTTGTTGCAAAACCAATTTCCACAAAAATAATCATAATCCAAGGGAAGCTTTACCATTCCTTTACTTTTTTCCCAGTTTTCCTTAAGTTTTCCCATAGCATTCCATGGTGATTCCATATTATCCGTCATAGGCACATGATTCCCCTAGGATTTCAATAACACCCAAAATACTCTAAAAGAAGCAATAAATTTGCTATAAGTTTGCTTTGCAATAAGTTTTCTCATTTGCCCTTTTCCCTAATACATTCCGTAGCAATTCCACAATATTTTTCCCAAGGATCAATGATTCCCAAAGGACTTCCGTAACAGACAAATCCTGTGGAAGATGACTTAAGTTTTCTGGAAAACATTTACAACCGTCTGGAATAGTTGTCTTTCCTTTACAATTTCCCATTTATTCCATGACAATTCCATGGCGATTCCGTGACGGAATCACACTGATTCCCATCCGGAAGCCTCCTACCACTCGCACTCATCCTCGTCCTCGTTGTCGGTCATCGGCTTCTTGTTCTTCTTGCCGCAGATCTTCATCATGGACTTGGACATGTAGTACGGTTTTTCCGCCGAGCCGTCGTGCCGTTCCAGATCCTCTAAGAAGCACAGGAACATGGTGTCCACCGCCATGTCGAAGACGTTGAAGAAGCACTTGGCAATGACGTACACGCCCAGCCCGATCACCTGAGGAGGAATCCGAAAAAACATTAGTTACACCGGAAGCTTTACAATTCCTTTACTTTTCCATGTTTTCCGATTATTTGTTTTTCAAGAGAATTCTGTGGTCATAAAAATGACACTGAAGAAAGAAGTACAGTTAAGCAGGGTTGTATATCATTGTTATACTACTGAAGGCAATGGATTCTTTCTTTGACAAAACAATTGTTTTGAGTTATCAGAGTTTGACTAATCAAGATTACACTGTAAATGCCTAAGAAGGAAAGACGATGGTGCGTGGGTTCGAAACCTGCCGGGAACATTGTGTTTGTGTCCTTGGGCAAGACACTTGACTCAAACTACCTCTCTCCACCCAGGAGTACAAATGGGTACCTGTGAGGGTAGAGGACCGAATGTAAAAGAATGTGAATGTAAAAGACACTGAAGAAAGCTGTACATGCCTAAGAAGGCACGACGATGGTGTGAGGTTTGAACCCTGCCAGGAACATGGTGTCTGTGCCCTTGGGCAAGACACTTTACTACAATTGCCTCTCTCCACCCAGGAGTACAAATGGGTACCTGTGAGGGTAGAGGACCGAATGTAAAAGAATGTAAAGGTAAAAGACACTGAAGAAAGTTGTACATGCCTAAGAAGACAAGACGATGATGTTAGGGTTTGAACCCTGCCAGGAACATGGTGTCTGTGTCCTTGGGCGAGACACTTTACTACAATTGCCTTTCTTCACCCAGGAGTATAAATGGGTGCCTGTGAGGGTAGAGGACCAAATTTGCGCTGATGTCAGCTGATATCGGCTGCCATCCGGTCTTGTGGTCTGATGAACATGGTAATAATTGTGAAGTGCTTTGAGAATGTTGATACAATGGAAAGCGCTACGCGTTTACTGCAGATGTGTGGTATTGTACTAATACAGCATGGTTTGATTGGAAGTAGTGGGAATTGCTGGTCCCGAGGTGTAGGTCAGCCTGACTAGTGGAGGGAGGTAGTCAAGCTGACCTACACCGAGGGACCAGTAATTCCAACTATTTTCCTGAAATAAACCATGCTGTATTTGTTTTACTACACCTCACTGTCTTTTTAGTAGCCTCACTGCCTTGTCGATAACGGCCTTCGAAGATTTCGCATCTTATTTATTCAGCAGAATTCAAGTTCTTCGTCACAGTACATGAAATAGTCTGGTGCCAACACACTTAATGTGTCTTTACTGCAGTAGTAACCAGGATTACAACAACAGACTGGTTTCATAAAGCTTACATTCCACAGACTTCATGTCTACGAGGCGGGTTCCAGAGGGAATGTTTGGTGCGCAGCGAGCTGGATACTCACCGGGTAGACGTCATCTGGGCACGTATCATTTTTACTTCCCGGACACGCGACGGAATCGGCCAATGACACGTTCCAATTTGATCATGAATATTTATGAGGTGTGGTACAATGTGGTCCCATGCTGGACGGTCTACTTACAATGATGACGACCCAGTAGTAGTTGACCTCGGGAACGTCTAGGATGCTGGAGACCCAGGTGATCTGATTGGTGAAGAAGAAGAACGCTGCCACGGAGACGCCGCCGGTGATGCAGAGAATGCCCAGCAGGATCAGGAAGTCGGTGATCTTATTGATGACAGCAACCCTACGACAAACAAGACATAAGGTTTCAAAAAAAAATCTTCAATGCAGCATGTTAGTCTGGCCCGTCCACATTCACATTTTATGTGAATGTCTTGGTACCAAACACTGACTAGTCTAGTCACAGACTCCCCTGTTAGAATTAACCCAACAATTACTATCTGTATGATCAATTGATTGAGGTCAACAATTTTCAATTTTATGATAGTCGTCAATTTGCAGTATTTTCAATTATTTGTAATGGGTTCTTTTCTGCTGAAATACCTATTTATTGCATTTGATTGCATGGGCCTAGTCAGGACACAAAATGAATGCAAAAAAATAGGACTTACGTTGCAGATCCTGTTTCTACAACGTATTCTCATAAAATCTTGCAGGCTTTTGAGGTCCCCTAGCATGCTCAATTGTACAAGGCATGTGTGGTCTAGCGGTGGAGCACAGGATTCATGATCGTGAGATTGTGGGTTCAAGCCCCGCCGTGGCCATGCGTGTTGTGCCCTTGAGTAAGGCGCTTTACCTCAATTACTCCTCTCAACCCAGGTGTTAAATGGGTACCGGCATTATTCAATGCTGGGAAGGTAACAGATTCGCTGTGGAGGAGGTGTGGCGATCCCCCCACAGCAGCATGAGTCTGGCCCAATCGCTAATGAAAGAGAGATGGGCACTCCGTTCCTGTGAACACAGGTTCGTCCCCTTTTTTTACAAGGCAGAGCCGTATTAGGATGGTTGTGATACGAAGCTAGGGTACTGGTTTGGGACGCAATTGCCAAAAAAAAAAAGAAGCATCTTGTATTTTAAAAAGGATGACAAAGATAGGCACATTATCAATTCTAGAAACTCGGAGTGCCGTGGCCTCGTGGTCTGGAGCATTGGATTCGTGGTCTGCAGGTAATTCTGCAGGATGTGGGTTCGAGTCCAGCCTGGGGTTATGGTGCGTGTGCCCTTGGGCAAGGCACTATGTCACTCATTGCTTCTATCCACCCAGGAGTAAATGGGAACCTGTGAGGGCAGAGCTGGTCAATGTGATTGATTTTAGCTTGCTTGCGCCTAACAGGCTGCATCGAGCTGTATACTCCCCAGGGAGCTGAGATGGTATTTGGAATGTTGCATCGGTCCAATGAGCAGGGGTAATAATAATGTAAAGCGCTTTGATCTTAGTTAAAAGATGTACGAACCCGTTCTTATTATTATTCACGCGACATCCAAATGTCATCTTTGAAAAGATTGAATTTAAAAATCTGACACTTCAAATTGAAAGCATTACATCACGCGTTGAACACATCAACTATAAATCTCCAAAATAGCGGGAGATTTAAATTACCCAATTCCAGGGGCAAAGATCGCGCACCTAGGCATGGTGGGAACCAATATGGCGCAGCAAGATTGTACCCATGAGAACGAGGTTGGTCCAAAACCACCTCGGAATGCAAGGGTTCAAGTTTAAGGGTTCGTCAAGTCATGTTATCCCTAAGCAAGCACCGCCACTCACCTGACAATGTTCCTCATCAGCAGGAAGAATGCAGTTTTGGCCGAACTGCAGAAATTCTTGCCGTAAATTGCAATCTGCACAACCACAAAGAAAAGAAAACACAACAATGAGTGCACACCACCAGAAGAAATACTGATAATCTATTCACAGACTAAAATGTCTACATCCAAAGTATGCATATAATGAATAAGTTGGTATTTTAGGTGTACATAGGTCATTCTATATATTTACGGTCCAAAGAGTGACTTTTTTTCCATGTCCCTGTTACCTTGGTACTTTGTAGTTTTATTTATTTATTTATTTTACATCTTTTGACATGCAAGTATCATTAAAAGGAAATTACAACATTTGCAAGCATCGAAAAATAAAACTACCAAGTTTTTACAAAATACCTTACAGGATGTTGGTAAATGACAGTCTAAAGCATCCTGTAAAATTATGGCACCTGGTGTGAAGTCATTTTCAAGTAAATGGTATTTTTGTATACATTTCCAACGGTGGTCGGCCGACCACCGTTGGAAAAACCTAACTATTTTTCAACTGATGCTCAAAATTTATCATTTTTTCTTCAGTCCAAATTTTGTTTCCTATTGGTTGCATGTTCATGAATGGGGGCAGGCCAGCTAGACTGGTTCCCTTATCGTACAATTTTCCGGCATCTATAAATTGATCCATTGAATTTTCAGTGGAGTCAGGGAACCAGACTACTTGAACATTTTTGTTTTTCTTGGTTTTTCCAGCATTTCCGAACACAAAACTTCAAACATGTCAGTGCAACAATAATTTGATCTATTATACTAACCCCTCAAATAATTCATTTCTGAAAATTAAAGCAAAAGCCAATGATGTAAATTCCCTTTAAGAATGACTTCAAACATTCTTTTAATCTGTGGTGCTCTTCAGAACACTCTTGGAGGACTGCATTAATGTGGTGCTTATATAGCGCTTTATACCAAACGTCTCAAAGCGCTTCACGATTATATTATCCCTGTTCATCAGGCCATGAGACCAGTTTTTACAGCAGCTCGAGATCAGCGCATTCTGGTGTTTACCTTCACAGGTACCCGTTCATTCTCCTGGGTGGAGAGAGGCAATTGTAGTAAAGTGTCTTGCCCAAGAACACAAGCACCATGTTCCCCGTCAGGGTTTGAATCAACGCATCATGGCACGCGAGTCAAACACCGTAACCATTAGGGCTCCAAAGAACCTTCCTCACTCTTGCAAAATCCAACACGATATGGTAAACTCTACACCCAAACTGTTGGACTCTGATTATGGTGGTATGCCTGATCCCATGTAAAGCATAATCAGTTTACTAGTGCAGTACTCACTCCAACAGATTCCAACAAAACATGCAGTTGGATTTTGAAGGGTTGGGTGGTTAGAGTTAAGGAGTGCATCAGAATTATAAAATCACAGATGTCAGATGTAATAGGGATAGTAAAAAAAAAAGCAGACCCCAAATTTATAAAAATTTATAGACTTGCAATCCTCAGAAAGTATCGTTCTGTTGCTAGGGAAGAACATTCTTTGAAAAAGTGTTTTAACAACGAGAATTCTTTTCTGTTTTTTGATTCAGTGCACAAGGCCTTAACTTCTACTGACCATGATGTAGGCGTTCTTGTTGAGGAATTTCATGAATTTCTCCAAGCAGTAGAAGCAGCATTTGAGGCACTTCAGGATAAATGAGACCACCTTGTTGTCCTTGCCTGTTAAATAAAAAACATCAGATAAAAATAAAAACAAAACCTTGTGAGCTCGGACTTCCAAGTTAAACAAGGTTCTTCATTAAGAGAAAAAAAATGCCAGGCATTCTGGCACAATGAGACAGAACTGGGCAGATTTCCAAGTGAAAGTTTGTGGGTATTAGCAAAGAGAATAAAAGTCTCCTTACAATATTGTTTGTTGCACTTCGATCGGACATTCCGTTGACAAGTTATGGCTGTTTAAAGTTCATATTTATAGAAACGTCAAGAAAGTATGTTTTTTGAGTTTTGTACAAGTGAAAATAAAAGATGCCAATTGTTTTTCCTGAAATATACTTTTACCTCTATTTTTATACTATTTCTTTAAAATAGGAACAGTGTTCAACGTAGAAACCGGAATTTTTTCCCCACTTTGGTGATATGATGTGACAAAGTAAACCTTTCAAATTTTTTAAAATTAAAATTAACATAATACTGTCGTGTCAGTGAAACACGGTCGCAACTCCATTCTGCTACAAAGTCGCATCTCGCGCGAATACGCTCCGTGCAACAACGTCGTATCTCGACGTCCATTGACTTTCCGTGTACATCCGGGTTATTTTAAGCGACAAATTTATCATGTTCAATTATCAATTTTTACAACATGAACATTTTTTGTCGGTTTGCTTTAGTGTGGATACTTTCAACCTAGGAATCCCATTTTAAATCTTCCTGGATCATAACACCAAGAAGTTTGACTTTACTGACAACCTCAAGGCGTTGATCTGTAATTCTTAGTTCAACATCGGGAATTTCTTTTTTGCCAAAGTATACTTACATGGCCTGGCATTTGGCAGGATTTATTTTTTAGTTTGTTTTGAACTGACCATTCCTGCAAGGTATTCAAATGCTCTTGCATGTCACTGACATTATCAACTGTTCTATTTTCACCAATAGTCAGGTCGTCAACATATTTCCACACTGACGGTCTGCTAACATCATTCAGGTTTTAGTGCATCATTTATCATACCTAGGAATGAAACAGGTCCAATGATGGTACCCTGTGGCACTCCCCCAGTTAAAGAGGTTGTGAAATGCTCGAAGACATTCCGTCATTCTTCGGGTATATGTAGCCTAAGGTGTGATGAAATAAAAAAGACTATTGTTTCTGTCATAAAATGAGTACAAAAGGTACTTTTGAGAGCTGTTTTTCAAGTCCTGTCATGCCTGTTTCGACCCGAACGTGCAATTTGTGTAAAAGTCGTCGTTGCGGGCAGCAAACAAAACACAGTAAATCGTGACGTAACAAACAGGACTCCCGATGCAGAGTAGCATAAACGAGTCCTGTTTATTACGTCACGATTTACTGTGTTTTGTTTGCTGCCCGCAACGACGACTTTTACACAAATTGCACGTTCGGGTCGAAACAGGACCTGAAAAATAGCTCTCAAAAGTACCTTTTGTACTCATTTCATGACAGAAACAATAGTCGTTTTTATTTCATCACACCTTAGGCTACATATACCCAAAAAATGACCGAAATGTTCTCGAGCATTCCACAACCTCTTTAAACCAATCCAGTCAGAGTATACGTTTTTGTATTTCACTCTTTGTCTCCTGTTGGTAAGGAACTCACTCACCCCCTGCACAAGACAGGCAGATACACCTAGCATCAACAATTTCCTGATAACAATGTTGTGATCAATTAAATCAAAGGCTTTTGAGAAATCAGTCAGTACCAAGGTACTAATGTTCCCAGATTTTTCAGCTGCAGCAATGGAGTGATGATAAATATTGTAGCTTAATAGCAGTTTGGTGGTAGCCAGGGGCTATCGTAGCTATAAAGTAGACAATTACCTAGATGTCAGCCAGGGCTGATGCGCGTAATGCGCCGCGGCGCCAGCCTATTTGCCGCGTGGGTATATAAGCGCGAGCGCGCACTCAGTCCGGTAGTTCCTCAGTTCCTGAGCAGTTCCAGTCCCGTACCCGAGTGAGACACGGGTGACCAGTAGTGCGTCGCAGTTGCTGAGCGTGTTTAATCAGTCCCTCGGCCGTGCAGATTAGTGGTAGTAGGCAGCCGTGTCCGTAAGTGAGGCTCTTACTGGGATAAGTAGCGGGGGCTTGTTCGGTCAGTTGAAGAGGGGAGGAACTCCGTCCACGGGAATAAGTAGCGAGGCCGTAGTGGTGAGTGGACGTTAACTTAGCGGGGGAAGATTTATACCTGTACAGGGAACTCGCACCTGTTTAGGAAACCCGCACCTGTTTAGGGGAGGCACCTGGGAAGGTGACCAACACCTGTCAAGGCCTAGAGATGATTTACAGTCCGCCTGAGTAGCTAATAATAAACGAGTGTCGACCTAAAGAGAAGAGTCCCGTGTTTGATTTAGAGGTGCCCCGTTTCCTTCCCCTGCCCTGTTCCCGTGTTGTCATAATCGTGCCGCCCCAGCCCTGGGTGTTGGCTCTGCGTTTTTCCCCCAGTTTCTGCCGTCCATCACAGCTTTGAAGGCTTGCCTACTACCTACGCTGTCCAATCTTTGCCTACTACAATGGCGACGCGGACTTTCTGGTACCCAGATGTAGGCCGGGGCATGAGGGAGCCAGTGTGGATACTTTCAACCTAAAATCAAACACATTGACCAGCTCTGCCCTCACAGGTACCCATTTACTCCTGGGTGGAGAGAAGCAATGAGTAACAAAGTCTCTTGCCCAAGGGCACACGCACCATAACCCCATAAGACTTGCATCAGTCCTTTTTGATAATCTTTCTCACCTTTCTTCAGTTGGACCTCGGCGTACTCCAGCAAGACTCGGATGATCTTGATAATGGCAATGATGAGAGAACCGAAGGCGATGGAGCCAAGATGGTACCTGAAAAATCAGGAGGAAAAAAACCAACAAAATCAATGAACTTCTATATGGATGAATTAAGTACAATCTTAACCAGCTCGCACCCGATGACGTGTATACTCGCAAAAGTCTAGCGGTTTTCAGAACAGATGATGGATAAACACAGAGTGGGTGAGGCCGGAAATATCTGTCAGCGACCCGCTGGCAGCGAGCGAGGCTGGAAATATGAGTGAACTGCCCGAGGGTGATGGCTGCCCGCCTGGCTTGAGGTCGAGAGAAAAATCATCCCAGTGCGACTGGTTAAGTGATCAATCAATCTGCACACGACCAGGCAAGTCCAGTCTTAATACAAGTCCGAATAAACCAGGAAAAAAAAAACAGGGGAAAATGGGGCTAAGTACCTAATAGCCCTGTAGAATCCACCCCACAGCGGCAGAGCAGGGATGTCATTCGGTTTGTGGTAGGCCCAGTAGTAGGAAGCGAAGGCCCCAGAGAGAGTCACTTGGCCCAGGGCGACCACGAACTCCATCAACCAGAACAGGCCAAAGAGGTTGTAGAACTGGAGATAGATGACGTAGTCCGGCAGGGCGTAGGACTGGAACATGCAAGACGCGCCGCTGCCGTAGTGCATGCCGCCTTGCTGGAATTCCTGACACAGATAAAAAAGAAGTTGTGATTAAAAAAAAATAAACCAACAAAATAAAACGACCCACAAGTTACTTTTGAATACCGTCGACTCTCGTTTCAACACACTCTGTTAATATACATTCTGGTTATCGTGAATGCACAGTGTGACCCCCCAAAAAGTTGTTCAAGCAGATTTCTTTTTATTTCACAAAAACTACTTTACATCTTGATGGAGCATATTAATTATACTCTTGTGTATATTCTGTGAAAAGCCATGGAAATCCATTCATGCGAACCAGAGATCTAACAGATTGTAAAAGGCTATGGGTTTTTCACCCAATCCAATGGGATCTACACAGTTAGTGATACAGGGTGAGTCAAAAAAAGTGGAACCCAAGCCCCAAAAAATGTATTTCACATTAAAAAAAATATGTAGCACCAAAAATAATAATGACTGGACAGCCACATTCAGAAGCTAGTTTTAGAAGAAAAAAATACTGAAATTGCTCAATCCGTTCAAAGAATATCACCATTTAAACCCTAAAACCTGTCTCGTCCTAAAAAATCAATTTATTGTGTATTTTAACTGTTTAAAACTGTTTGGAACAACAAAATGACACAGAATACTTGTTTTAACAACTGTCACCAACTGTAGCACACACTATTTTGATTAACAACCCTGGTTAGGCAAACAACATGATTTATAAAATCTACTTTTTTAAAAGACGGGCCTTCAAAAGGACTTTGTTGCATATTGTTAACATTTAGACTAAGATTTCATCGCTGGCGATGTTTGAAGAGAATTGTGACGACGATTATTGAAATCGCATTTTTTGGACGAGACAGGTTTTAGGGTCATTGTGTTCCAATGGTGATATTTTTTGAACAGATGACCAATTTCAGTAATTTTTTTCATCCAAAAGTAGCTTATGAAATTTACTTTCCAGTCATTATTATTTTTGGTGCTAAATATTTTTTTTAAATATGAAATATAATTTTTGGGTTTTGGGTTCCGTTTTTTTTGACTCGCCCTGTATCAGTGCATCAGATTGTCATGGGCCTTTTCACTCTGATGTAAATAAAGTTAACTGTGTAAATCCCATCCCATTGGAATGGGCGAAAAACCCATAGCCCTTTTTAAGCAGGGGTTAACTGTAAATGAACTTTCTGTGAGTCCTGCAGGTTGTTGGTTCAAATCCAGAAGCAACAAACATGCTCAAAATCTAAAGAAGGGTGCTGAACAACTAACCTGACCAACTTTCAGCTAAGCTTCAGCTGTATATTTCGAGAAAAACAGCATTCTAGGATCATGATTTCAAATCAAAAGTCGCTGAATCATGTTTTGAATTTGGCCTGAATTCAGCACCCGAGACACCTTCTCACTGAGTCGATTTGATTGCAGCTACACGATGTCGCGCACTGATCCGACTAATTATAGCAACCGCGCGTGCGTCGTGCCAATGCTTGTGCGCGCTGCGCTGAATAACAAAACGAACTACTAATTTAAATTTCCTACGGTGCGTTTTAAGACGCACCGCTGGAAAGGCATTCTTTCGTTGATTACTTCAAAATGACAGCTTGCCAGAAAGAATAACTTCACAGGGAGTTTAGTCCCTTTACTATCTTTCAACCAAGTATGTTTTTCAACAATAATTACGTCCGTTACTTTTTGGATAGCTGCAAATGATGGACTATAGATTTAAGCCAGACGCACACCTTTGGATTTTACCAGTTCACGGAATCACGAAATAGTTCTGTATATACAGGGTGGCCAAAAAACGGAATGGCATTAGGTACTTCCGCATTTATTTGTTGCACAAGTCGCAGACTTACGCACGCACTATGAAACTTTTGTGAAATCGTCGTCACTGAAATGTTGTGCAGCGTGAAATGTTGCACAAGTTGCGCAATAAATTGTCAGAGAAGCCACCAATATATCAATAAAAAGCCTGAAACCCAACTAAAAAACCTGAAACTACCCTGACCCCCGCTCAAAAATGTGTTTTCTGGATGTTTCAGACCAAATCCAGCACTTTTAATTTGTCACATTTTTTGAGGAAAAATCCCCTGAATTCAGGTTAAAACCTGAAAAGTTGTATCTCTGATTGTGGCGCAAGTGGACTTATGCCATTGCGTAAAGTTTTGTGAAATCGGCCACACGTGAACCGGTAAAATCAGAAAAGAGTGCGGTTGACTTTACCAATGCCCTTAAAAATACCCAACTTCGACATTGATTTTACTAAAAACCCTTTTATTTGCTTACTTCTGGAACACATTCTGTGCCGTTCGCCAGTGAGAAATTCCCAGGTGCCTGATACACGACAAATGTGGCCTTGTGAGACGTCGCCAGGAAACTGTCAGGGAGGATTATGGGTCAAGGAAATCTCTCGAGACAATTTTACAAGATTGTAGGACTAAACAGCCATGTCCAGAACACAAAACTTTAACAGGTCAGTGTAACAATGTTTGCTATATAACTCCCCCAGTTCCATCCGTTTCTGAAAATTACAGCAAAAGCAGATGTTGTACATGTGACCGGCTCCACAAAAAAAGGGTATTATGTCGCAAAAAGTGAAATTGAATTATACACATGGTTGGAAAGCCGACAATGTAAGCTTTCATTTGGTATATAATAGAGCTCCATAGCCCCTCCCATTCTGGAGATATGACGCATTTACATATTAATTACTTCCTTGGAGTTCAAATTACGCAAAACTGGGAAAACAGGATTTGAAATAGCTGGCTCTGTTGTAGAACAACAGAACAATGCACACACAATGGTTGTTTTTTTTACACTTTGTTCATCAAAATCAACATTTCTGTGAATGAAACCTGAGACTGTAGGTACCGATGACATTCATGACAAAATATGAAAATAACATTACACAATAATGCTCAGCGCGACTTAATACCCTTATTTGTGGAGCCGGTCACATATTACTTTTAACCAGCTCGCACTGAGATTATTTTGACATTGACCGGACCCAGACGCGGGATTGTTTGTCACGGACAGACAGGTTCAGGCCGTCATCTGCAGGTAGCACACCCTGATACTTCTGGCCTTGCTTGCTGCGAAAGGGTCACTGACAGATATTTCTGGCCTCGCTCGTTGCGTGTTTATCTGTCATTCGTTCCGAATACCGCAAAACCTTTGCGTGTAGACACGTCATCTGACGTGAACTAGTAATAGACATCTTTCGGAACAACTCTTTTTTTATTTAATTTTTTTTTAAAGGATACACGGCGATTGTTGCCCAGAGCGTGATGATCACTACTTGAAGGAGGAAAGGAACGATCGGCCAGAACAAGGTGGACAGCATCGAACCAACAGCCCTTAATTCAAAAACAGAGAAACAAAAGTCAAGTTTCAAATCAAACTTTCCCTTCGTTGGAGGTATGTGTAAGCCCAACTTTATCAATATTTTTATGTACCTCTATAGGCTTTCGTTAAAAGTATGGAAGGGAGTAGGGTATGACAAACGAAGGGTAGGAAAGGTGGGGTAGGGTGGGGAAGGATGGGGCCGGTTAGGGCCAGGTGGGGAAGGGTGGGACTGGGTTGAGCTAGGTGGGCAAGGGTGGTGAAGGGTGGAGAAGGGCGAGGCAGAGTGGGGCAGGGCGGGGTACGACAAGGCATAGCAAAGTCTTCGTCCAAGACTGATTTGGATTTTGTTCCCGTAATGCAGCTGGTCTCTGACAAATGCCATGTCAAGTCTGTCAACAAGATGAATCAAATCCAAGACAAGACAAGGCAAGGCGGGGGAAGGGTGGGGAAGGGAGGGACTGGGTTGGGCTAGGTGGGGAAGGGTAGGTTGGGGTAGGGTTGGATAGGTTTGGGCAGGTTAAACAGAGCGAAGCAGGGTTTGGGCGGGTTTGGCAGGCAGGGCAGGGCAGGGCCGGACCGGGTGGGGTGGACAGGGCTGGGCCGGGTGGGAAGCGCAGGACCAGCTGGGATAGGATTAGGCAGGGTGGGACAGCATGCGGGCAAGGCAGGGCAGAGCGGGCAGGGCCAGGCAGGGCAGGGCCTGGCAGGGCAGGACAGGAGAGGGCAGAGCAGGGCAGGGCAAAGCAGGGCAAGGCAGGGCAGGGCAGGGCAGGGCAGGGCAGGGCAGGGCAGGGCAGGGTAGGGTAGGGCAGGGCCGGGTGCGGTGGGGTGGGAAGGGCAGGGCCAGCTGGGGTAGGATCAGCTGGGGTAGGGTATGGGAGGGTGGGACAGCATGTGGGCAGGGCGGGCAGTGTGGGCAAGGCAGGGCAGGGCAGGGCAGAGCAGGGCGGGGCGGGGCACTTCTTAATCCTTACCTGCTAGACTCCTTGATCAACTGTACAGCGATGCGGATACGGGAACACAAACACAGCGTGACCAGAACAATGATCAGCAGAAGAATGGACAGGGCAATACCTGCAAAATGGAACAAGACCATGCAACCATTCAAGAAAAACTGAATGCATAGATGTATGCAGGCAGAGAGTCGCTGTACACTCAAGGTGGACTCCAGTAAATGGCCCAAGCATTGTGTCAGCTTATACCGGTAGTTCGGGATGACAGTCAAGAAGCAGTTATGTTGTAAAATTGCTTGCCCAATTATTTCATCCTTGCACTGTGAGTATCTGACTGTATCTGAAGTGAGCATCTGAAGTGAGTATCTGAAGTGAGCATCTGAAGTGAGCATCTGAAGTGAGTATCTGAAGTGAGTATCTGAAGTGAGTATCTGAAGTATCTGAAGTGAGTATCTGAAGTATCTGAAGTGAGTATCTGAAGTATCTGAAGTATCTGAAGTGAGTATCTGAAGTGAGTATCTGAAGTGAGTATCTGAAGTATCTGAAGTGAGTATCTGAAGTGAGTATCTGAAGTATCTGAAGTGAGTATCTGAAGTATCTGAAGTGAGTATCTGAAGTATCTGAAGTGAGTATCTGAAGTATCTGAAGTGAGTATCTGAAGCGAGAATCTGAAGTATCTGAAGTGAGTATCTGACTGTATCTGAAGTGAGTATCTGATGAAGTGAGCATTGACAGTGAAAATCTGAAGTATCTGAAGTGAGTATTTGATGTGAGTATCTGAAATGAGAATCTGAAGTGAGCATCTGAAGTGAGCATCTGAAGTGTGTATCAGAAGTATCTGAAGTGAGTGTCTGAAGTGAGTATGTGAAGTGAGTATCGTAAGCGCGTTTCTGAAGTGAGTATCTGAAGTGAGTATGTGAAGTATCTGAAGTGAGTATGTGAAGTGAGTATCGTAAGTGCGTTTCTGAAGTGGGTATCTGAAGTGAGTATTGTAAGTGCGTTTCTGAAGTGAGTATCTGAAGTGAGTATCTGAAGTGAGTATCGTAAGTGCGTTTATGAAGTGAGTATCTGAAGTGAGTATCGTAAGTGCGTTTCTGAAGTGAGTATCTGAAGTGAGTATTGTAAGTGCGTTTCTGAAGTGAGTATCTGAAGTGAGTATCTGAAGTGAGTATCGTAAGTGCGTTTATGAAGTGAGTATCTGAAGTGAGTATGTGAAGTGAGTATCGTAAGTGCGTTTCTGAAGTGAGTATCTGAAGTGAGTATTGTAAGTGCGTTTCTGAAGTGAGTATCTGAAGTGAGTATGTGAAGTGAGTATCTGACAATGAGTATTGGAAGTGCTCAGTCCTTTATTTTTATTTTCGCCACAAGAACCCAACAATGAAAACACAGAGTTGAGATCCGATGGAACTTACCGAATGCCAGCCAGGTTTTCTGTAGACGCAAGAAGCCTGAAAGGCCTGAAATGAAGGCGGACACCATGCTGCTGGAAACGGCAGCAGTCCCGGGCATCGACATAGTCGCTGTTCCCGATTGCACCTGCTCGAGGTAGATGTACTGCTGCCAGCAACAATAGATACCTAGTCGGATGCAAAAGTGTAACAATAATGAAGTAGACCTGTTTATGCCCAAAACAAAAAAGCTTTTTTCCGGAGACTTACAGACATCAAAAAAGAAAAGAAAAAACGAGGTTTTGAGGTTGAATCAAAATTTATGTAAAAAAACTGACTTTGTTGAAGAGCAAGGAGAGTGCAACTGAAACTCAAAGAAAATGATTTTACCTGCCCCCAGAATAGCCCAGAGTCCCAGGATACTAAGCCACGTCATGACACCGGCGATCCAACGCATGATGATGATCCACACCAGCGCTAGTATCATGCCTGCCGATAAACCGCTGATGAGAGAAATGAACGAATGTGTCAATTCCTACTTCCACGACTGTTTCATAAAAAAAACATGTATAGAGGAGTAGCGCATAGGTATTAATCTGTGCGTGAATCCTCATATGCCCAGTTGGTAAACAGTAAAATTCGCTGCAAATTTGTGCAGTACAGTGCTAGCCCCGATGTGAAATGAGTGACCTCGTGACCCAATTTTCCAACAACTGCAATTTATTGGTAGCTGGTCAGTGGAGACCTGAAGCACGTATTGTTGCACGAGGGCCTAAGGGACAAGGTGATTGATTGCCAAAAAAAGGTATGTGCTGACGATTGTTACTAACCAACCAACCAACAGAGAAACACAATGATTTCTTGACCCAATTTTCCCATGACTGCAATTAATTGGTAGCTGGTCAGCGGAGACCTGAAACCTGTGTTGTTGCGAGGGACTAAGGGACAAGGATGATTGATTACCAAAAAAACGTATGTGCTGACGTTTGTTACTAACCAACCAACCAACAGAGAGACATGATGATTTCTTGACCCAATTTTCCCATGACTGCAATTAATTGGTAGCTGGTCAGCGGAGACCTGAAGCACGTGTTGTTTTGAGGGCCTAAGGGACAATAAGGTGATTGATTGCCAAAACAGGCATTTGCTGACGTTTGTTACTAACCAACCAACCAACAGAGAGACACAATGATTTCTTGACCCAATTTTCCCATGACTGCAATTAATTGGTAGCTGGTCAGCGGAGACCTGAAGCACGTGTTGTTGCACGAGGGCCTAAGGGACAAGGTGATTGATTGCCAAAACAGGCATTTGCTGACGTTTGTTACTAACCAACCAACCAACAGAGAGACATGATGATTTCTTGAGCTGCTTTCTGCAGCTAACTTTTTTTTTTTTAGAAGTTTCAGTGTTAATGTTTTAGAGAATTTAAGATCAATTTTCAGTTTTGGGTAAACCCTTCACCGACGTCAAATTACTCCGCTTCACGGAATTGACACCACTTACATTAGGATGATGTACCACGATGACACAAAGTCTTGGTAGACCACGCTAAACAAGGAACGCAGATCCAAGAAGTTTTCCGCAGCCCTGCAAAGCCACAAATTACGGATAGCAATAAACACAAAAACCCGCTTCCTTAGTGGAGAATACTATTGTAAATAAAAAAAAAAACCAGAACAAATAAGGCTCCCCCCCAAAAAAAATTCTCAGGTTTCTGGTCTGCGCACGCGTCGCCGTAGCCGTGCGTGTCAACTATTTTTTTTTTTTTCAATATAAGATGATGTCTCAAAACTGCCAAACTCACATATAACTGGAATCCCGCTGCTGCACAATTTTAATGTGTTATGGGATGATGATTGAGTGTAAGCTTTATGTGGCCTCTCTGGGCTCCCAGATATTTGCACTTAATTTAGTCAGGCAACATTTGCAGATGATGTTGTAATCTTGCAATTGTGCTTCTGGAAGCCAGACTGAAGGAGTGATGGTCGTGTATTCGGAATCTGTAAACACTTTTTAATTAGCGCTACATATAAGGGAGCAGACTAATGACCAGCCTGGCAGCTCATGCACGGTGTTGATGTCGCTGTATGGTCTAACATCACTACCGTTTTCTTTAATTTTTGTCTTGACTATCCAAATTTCCCGAAGAATGTTCTTGTCGGTCGAGATTGTGAGTGGGTGCAGAATTCTCGAGCCTATAACGTTACTCAGGTCACCTCAAGCTTCAGTCTGAAGGATATTTTTTAGAGCTTTAGAGGATCGAAGCGTCATCTGCAACATCAGCCGACATTTAAAAAAAAAAAAAAAAGCCGCCTCGCCGCACCACTTTTGGTGCAAGCTCCATACTAGAAACCGAAGACTTTTTTTGGCCAAATGGCTGTTGTTAGATATTTTCCAGTACAAAAATGGCGAGTCATGATTCTGAGTCAAGGTTTAAAATGGAGTATATCGTCACCGTTTTGACGAAGTGACGCATCTGTGCACACAGATGCAAAACCGAGTTTTGAGAAAATTGCGTTTGAAGTTGGTAGATTTTTCAATTTGCATTTTTGTGTACATTTCTCCCCCAGAACTGACAAATAGATAACTGAGACAAAAGCCCAGGAGTTAAATAGCTAAAAACAATTCTCTCTTTTCATAACATCTACAGATATCCGTCACTTCGTCAAAACGGAAAATCTACTTCTTCACAAAAATTTGGCATGTTTGTACACAGCGCATGCGCGTATTTAAGTGTATACATTTTAAACAGATGCGTCACTTCGTCAAAACGCAAATCATGGAGGCTTCATATTTCTAAATATAGCACACGTGTAAGATCAATGAGAATAAGTGACACGTAGAGATCCGTCACTTCGTCAAAACGAAAAACTTTATAGTGTGTAGCACTTTCAACACTTTGTGCAAATAGCGTAATTAACAAATGATGGAATGTTATGTCTCGAAATTTGGTAATCACGTACAGGACGTCATAAAATGTTAGAATATCCAAAAATCTCACATTTCAGAAAATCTCAGTTTTGGACAGATGTGTCACTTCGTCAAAACGGTGATGATATATCCACTCCGAACTGGAGTCGCTTGCGAACCGTGTTCGGATCCTTAGACAAATCCCAAACCATGACCCAGGACAAACCCCTAGTCAGACCCCAGGACAAAGTGTTTTGTCAACAGACACCCGACGAGCACTTACGTGATCAGTTTACTGACGATGGTGTCGTCTGTCAAGTTTTCGCCGCCGACCGTGGTAATGAAATTCAGCCCCTTCGCTAAGATGTCGCCGGCCGACGCATTAGCGTTGACCAGGAATGCTGGGATACATCGGTCCGCGACTACAAGATGGGAGACATATTACCCAATGACTATCTCATTCTGTGCAATCATATACAGGGTGAGTCAAAAAAAGCAGAACCCAAACCCCCAAAAATACATTTCATATTTAAAGGGACACTAGGTCCTGGAACAGCCCAATTGGGCTACAAAACGCGCTTTGAACGAAATGATGATAATCGGAAATAACATTTATAAGTAGGATATAAACATCCACACAACTATCACTTAAAAACTGGGCGTTTTTGTGTTATTCCTGTCTTATGCGTGCGAGAACGAATTTAGGGGGTCCACTTTTGCGACCCCAGAAATTCGAGCTGTTTGGATGCTAGTTGTGATTTCATTTGTACGCGTAAAGTGTTCGCCTTTTGCGGACGTTGAAGGAACCACAATTTTTTGCAATGGTGATTGGTCACCGCGCGCTGTTCCCGATACACACAACATGTATAGAGTACACTGAGAATGACACGAAAAACATATTCGTATTCCGTCATGTCCGATGTAAACAAGCAGGTTTTTTTCGTCTTTTCTCAGGAAAAGTAAGACATTAGGTTGGTTTCTTTTCAACCAGGTGTTTGAAATAGGCTAAGTAAACAATCCAAAACATAAAATTTTCGGGGATTTCAGGACCTAGTGCCCCTTTAACAAAATATGCAGCACCGAAAATAATAATGACTGAAAAGCCAATTCCAGAAACTACTTTCAGATAAAAAAAAAATCAACTTGCTCAATCCATTCATAAAATATCACCATTTGAACGCAATGACCCAAAAACCGGTTTCGTCCAAAATAAAAACTCAATTTATTGTGTATCCTGACTGTTTGGAGCAACAAAGAAAATGACACAGAATACTTGTTTCAACAACCCTCAACAACTGTAGTACACAATATAAATATATTAACAACCCTGGTTAGGCAAAAAATATGATTTATAGAATCCACTTTTTTTTTTTTAAAAAGGCCTTCAAAAGGACTCTGTTGAATATTTTTAACTTTTGAACTGAGGTTTTATCGCTGGTGATGTTTGAAGCAATTGTGACGACGATTCTTGAAATCGCATTTTTGGACGAAAGAGGTTTTAGGGTCATTGTGATTATTAAATGGTGATATTCTTTGAACAGATTGAGCAATTTCGGTATTTTTTTCATCTCAAAGTAGCTTATGAAATTGGACTTCCAGTCATTTGTATTTTTGGTGCTACACATTTTTTTAAAATATGAAATATAATTTTTGGGGTTTGGGTTCCGCTTATTTTGAATCACCCTGTATATTCCCAATCATAGACAAAATTCAAATCCCAATGCCCTTAACATGGGCCCTGCTGGAAAAAACATTTTCTCTGAATTCTTTTTAGATAGACAGGGTCAAAGGTTAATATTTCCACAGATGAAAGCACCACAATTCTCTCCCATTTCCTTCAGAAAATTGGGTTGAAAAGATATTCACCGTTACCTTTCCACTGATTGGTTCTGAGCTAAATACCAAATTTTAAAATTAACGAGGGCACTTTTGTAAAAATTGTGAGTAGTCTTTCCCTTTTACCAAAACAATGTCAACTCACATGGCTCGCTCTCAATGTAATAAGCAGCACACTTTTTGTCCTCAAACATCTTTGCTAAACCTTCTGGGCCCTGCAAAAGAGCACAACAAACCATGCATAAAATTAGGATGCTAAGCCAGACAAACACATCCCAACCCGTACACCCAACCCATCTCAACCCAACGCAACCTAATCCAATGGAATACAACCCAACCGAACCCAACCGAACCCAACCCATCCCAACCCATCCCAACCCAACCCATCTCAACCCATCCCAACCCAACCCAACCCAACCCAACCAATCCCTACCCAGCCCAACCAATCCCTACCCAGCCCAACCAATCCCTACCCAGCCCAACCCAACCCAGCCCAACCCAACCCAACCCAACCCAACCCAACCGAACCCAACCCAACCCATCCCAACCCATCCCAACCCAACCCATCCCAACCCAACCCATCCCAACCCAACCCATCCCAACCCAACCCAACCCATCCCAACCCAACCCAACCCAACCCAACCCATCCCAACCTAACCCATCCCATTCCAACCCATCCCAACCCATCCCAACCCAACCCAACCAAACCCAACCCAACCAAACCCATCCCAACCCATCCCAACCCATCCCATTCCAACCCATCCCAACCCAACCCATCCCAACCCAACCCATCCCAACCCAACCAAACCCAACCCAACCCAACCAATCCCTACCCAGCCCAACCAATCCCTACCCAGCCCAACCCAGCCCAACCCAACCCAGCCCAACCCAACCCAACCCAACCCAACCCATCCCAACCCAACCCAACCCATCCCATCCCATCCCAACCCATACCAACCCAGCCCAACCCAACCCAACCCAACCCAACCCAGCCCAGCCCAGCCCAGCCCAACCCATCCCAACCCAACCTAACCCAACCCAACACAGCCCAGCCCAACCCATCCCAACCCAACCCAACCCAGCCCAACCCAACCCAACCCAGCCCAGTCAAGCCAAGCCCAACCCAACCCAACCCAACCCAACCCATCCCAACCCAACCCAAACCAACCCAAACCAACCCCAACTCACTGAGTATGTTCCTCCAACTGTGTTGTACTCCGTCGTTGCATTAAAACCATCAAGGCAGATAAACTTGTCCCACATGGCGTCACCAATGGGTATATCCACAGGCAGCTGTCCCTTTAATGCCAGCGTGTATGGAGCAAAAGTCTCCGTAGGGCATACTGCAAGACAGACCTGTCATGGAAACAAAACACAGCTATTAAAGCTGAACCATGAGTGCAGTAAAATACATTTAATTGATTTAGAATGCCTACAAAGTTTGCAGAATATTTGCAGTGGTAATGCACAGAGACTTGACTAATTGCTACAAGTTCCATGCAATGAAATTTTTCTTAGAAACAAACCTTGTGCAACTTTCTACTCCTCTTAAATGTACGAAAAATATCTGGCATTCCTATTTGGTTAATTTCATGGAAAAAGAATGATTCTATTTAGGCCATCAGCCTGGAGGTTTGGTCGGTATTGAATGAGGGGAATAATACTCATTGTGATATTTGGCAAGGAACGCATGCACCCCTGTAGTTGGAAAATATGCGATAGCATTGCAGCGGTGGCAGCTTTTTGGGTGCTATCACTTTTTTTAACAGAAATGACAGCCAAAGCATGCTTGTTATCACATATAATTAATCCGGTGATTAAAAAGTGATGACACCCAAACAACTGCCACCGCTCACACTGCAAAGCTGTCACACATTTTTCAACTCTAGATGTGCATGCCTTGCCAAAAATCGCTAACAGCATTGCTCCCTTCGATCATTTAATACTGCGCCGTTGGCCCAATTTTTGGACCGAAGCTGATAGCCTGATTCCCCCTGGATGGGATGCCAGTCCATCGCAGGTTACTCCCCAGCTAATGCCGGTACCCATTTATACTCCTGGGTGGAGAGAGGCAAGTTGGGTAAAGTGGCTTGCCCAAGGACACAATGTATGGTCAGCAGCTGTATTCAAAACCCTGATCCTTCTGATCATGAGTCACAAACCCTAACTTCTAAGCCATACTCCACTACCATGGACCAAAACATACCTAACAGTTGAAAATTTAGTAAAACACTACAATTCTGGAACTGTTTGTGGAAATCAAATTTCAGAAACTTTTTGAGGGCAGACTTGTCACGCTAGGTCACAAATATTTCAGGGCAAAGGACTGAACGAAAAGACAAAAAAAACAACCTACCTTCGCAGATGGGCATCCCAGCTCAAGAATTGACACGTCAGTGAAACACTCCAGCAGATCAAAGTAAAACAAGTTGGGCTTGTTTCTAAACGAAAGAAAAATTTGGGACAAAAAAAAAAATCAAATGCGGTTCCACTTGCTCAACTCAAAAATCAAGTAAAAAAAAAAAAAAATAGGCGCCAATTTCTTCTGCTTAGCCCAGAATATATTTGCTTAGCGGTTGGTTTTCGGCCAAAATGTCATGCGATGTATATTACTCTGTGACCAATTGATGATCGAATAAACAAATATTCGGTATTCAGGACAGCCCTAAGTTAGGCTTAGAGTGGTTGGACAACGCTTCACACCAGAGGCGCTGTTCAAGGTGGACACAACTGGATGCCATTTGGCGCCATTCACGTCAGCTTTATTTGCTGACAGTTTACATGACTGTACTGATTAACGATTAAGCCGAGACCAACAAGGGAAAGGTATCACCCCCTAGAACATCTCTCTAGCCCCGCCTCTGAAAGGAAGGAACTTTTTTCCGGATGAAGATACACATGAATATACTTACTCATAACCTGTGGATTTTCCGCAAACATTCCCCATAGAGTCGGTGGCATAGATGAGGGTCAGGGGGTCGCCCTGGATCCATCCTGTGGGGAATGAAACACAAAAATTGAAACACACGGAAATTCGGCTTAAATTTCACTGCAACTTTCATAACAAAACGAATGCATCATTACCATCAGAAAGTCACCCAAATTTGCTCAGTTATAATATGCAAACGCCTGTCATGAGCCAATATGGCCCATAATCAGGCTGGCGTTTATCTCCAGTTTCCTTGGCATGAAACAACTGAGAATATATCTTTTCCCCCTGGAAGGGATGCCAGTCCAACGCAGGTTACTCCCCAGCTAATGCCGGTACCTTATAATACTCCTGGGTGGAGAGATCAAGTGGGGTAAAGTGGATTGCCCATGGACACAATGTACGGCCAGCAGCTGGATTGAAACCCCTGATCCCCCAATCATAAGTCCTGAACCCTAACCACTAGGCCACACCCCCCCCCCCAAAAAAAGAAATGCATAGAGTATCATTCTACAGCTCAACATTGCTTTAACAAGTTCATTTTGTCTGAACATTGGCGTGTCTTATTTCAATCACTGGACTTCTCCCCAAACTTCTGAATATTTGGCAAGAAAAGATTGGACTCACCAATCCCGCCGACAACAATCATGCCGATGAAGAACACAATGAAGAGGATGCAGCATATTATGTCTGTACAGCTCCTGGGAAAAGATTTTAAAAATGACAAACTTCAATATAGCCGCACTTGAACAGTAACATTTTCACTGGGGTGGGAAATGGAAACAATTTAATAAAAAATCCACACAAAATATTCGGCGGGCTCCCGGACCAAGTACTGGCACGCCAAAACACTGCCCATTGCAATTTATTTTTTACGTATTATAAACCTTCGACCCCAAAAAAAGCGGAAACAACTTTTAAAAGTCATGAAAACTTATAATTTAGGCTTTTGTAAGTTCCACGAAGTCTGGAAATAGGTGAGGCATTCTGCCAAAATGAGACAGAACTGGTCAGAGGTTAAAATGAGGGTTTGCGGGTTATTAGGAAAGAGAAAAAAATTCTCCTTGCAATACTGTTCGTTGCACTGCAATCGGAAATCTCAACCAGTTTTTTATTATGTACTTTTTCAAGAAAGCAAGTCATTTGATGAAAAAAAAGAAGAATAAATAAAGTCTGCATGTCAATTAAAATAAACAGAAAAGCCAAAGAAACAGAAAAGTCAATTTACCCTTAAAGGAAAGAATTTCATAAGATGAAAGGAATTCTTTCTTAGGCATAAAATTCTACATTTGGAACTATAGACCCTGACAAAACTTCAATCAAATGTATGAATATTTACCTGTTTTCTATGGGACCGTGGAATGCTGGGTCGTACTTTTTGCACTTCCCTGCAGAAAAAGAAAAAGAAAGATGTTTAATATTAATAAGATAAACCAAGGTTCGAATTTAGTAGTAGCCCACTAGTCAAATAATAGTCAAACCAGCAGCCAGCTAGTCAAACTATTCCTTAAAGGGAATGTACAACTTTTGCTTTTGCTGCAATTTTCAGAAATAAATGGATTTGGATGATTTGTATGTTATAGCAAATATTGTAACATTGACTTGTTTCACGTTTTGGGTTCGTAGAAGCTGGAAAAACCAAGAAAACCAATCATATTTTTGTAGTCTGGTTCCTTGACGCCACTTAAGATGAAATGGAGCAATTTATAGACTTTGGGGAATTGTAAGGTCTGGGAATCAGTCTAGCAGGCTTGTAGTCTTCACAGGTATGTAATCAATTGCAAAGAAAATGCAGACGAACTAAATATAAAAAATTCGGAGCACTTTTTGAAAATAGCCAGTTTTCTCCAACGCTGGTCGGCCGACCAGTGTTGGAAAAATGCAGTTTTTCTTGAATATGTCAGCCCACCAGGAGCCACAACTGTACAGGATGCTTTAGACTGTCATTCCCTAACAATCCAGTAAGATATTTCGTTATAATTTGATCAAATGTTTTGTTTTTTGAAGTTTGCAAATGTTGTATCTTCCCTTTAATTAAGTAGCCCGGCTGGCGAGTCAAAAATTACAGGGCAATGGCAAAGATGAAAGGACAGGAAGAAATAAACCATTTAATTTAAAAAGCAAACCTGTATCAATTTGTGTCTAATTTTTATTAACTGTTTAGGATTAAATTACTAGACCTGTTTAAAAACACTGACAAGATTGCCTCAGGATCGTTTTACATGTATGCACATCGTTGTTTACATAAAAGAATAACGTGAGGGCTACTACTGGTAGTTAAAATGCCCACGAGCATTCCTCCCAATTCAGCCACACACTTTTGCCATAACCTCAATCCTGCAAAATCCTCCGTTTCGCAAAGAAGATTTGGGAGGATTTGGGAAGAAAATGCCAGTACCGGGTAGGTCCAATGAAAAAATTTACAGGCTGAAGTTTGGAAATAACATTCTGATCTTTAAAAAAAAAAAAGGAAGTTTCTTCAAGCAGAACATGTAAAGAATTATGTGAAATTTGAGCATCATGTTTTGGGTCGCATAACTAAATCAACATGTAAAGGAACACATTTTCAGATAATTATGTTTGTTTTTTTGGCTTTGAAACAAAATACAACGTTCACAGGCTACATGTACATGCACTTTGGAAACTTTTCCGATCTAAAAACAACTTTGAACACAATGAGAGATTACGGGTCATGCACTGGTACTCTCAATACAGCCCAAATGACTCATTCTAGATTTGACTCAGCTAGCTAAACTAGTCCATTTGTAACAAACAAAACACATGGCAGATCCTGTTTCACTTTTACTGCCCCAACCAACCAGAACTTGTTGGTACCGCTACATTTGTTTGATTTCTATTTGATTCAGCATGCGGCTCCCTGAGCAATAATCATAATGCCCCAATTTAACCGCCCAAAACCCTTAAAGCTATAGTCCATCATTTGCAGCCATCCGAAAAAGTAACTGGCGTATTATTGTTGAAAAACATACTTGGTTGAAAGATAGTAAGTGGACTAAACTCCCTGTGAAATTAATCTTTCTGGCAAGCTATCATTTTGAAGTAATCAACAAAAGAAGGCCTTTCCAACGGTGCGTCTTAAGACGCACCGTAGGAAAATTTAAATTAGTACAGTGTAGTTCGTTTTGTTATTGGGCGCAGCGCGCGCAAGCATTGGCACGTCGCACAGACGCACGCGGTTGCTATAATTCGTCAGATCAGTGCGCGACATCGCATATAGCTGCAATTCAAAACAATTCAAAACATGATTCAGCAACTTTTGATTTGAAATTGAGATCCTATAATGCTGTTTTTCTCGGAATATACAGCTGAAGCTGAGCTGAAACTTCATCAGGTTAGTTGTTCAGTGTCCTTCATTAGATTTTGAACACTTTTGTTGCTTCAAATGAACAAAATGCACAAATTACAAATGATGGACTATATCTTTAAAATGGGAGGGGTAATGATTAAATTTTGTTTAAAAATACATGTAAAGTTTCTGTTCAAAGGTAGACTACCAGTACATGCATATCATGTGCAGCTATCGAAAAAGTAACTGACTAAATTATTGTTGAAAAGCTTACTTGGTTTAACCCTAACCCCTTGGGTATATCTGGAAAGTATCATGAATCTGCCAAAATCCATCAATTTTGCCTTGCAATAAAATGTTGGTGGCCAGTGAGTCCATCAGAATCCACCAGTTAGGCGGGAGTAAATCTGTTGAGATCCTGAATCCAACAGAGTCCCCCAAACTGCTCAATATGAAGGTATCCTGAATCCATCAAAATCCTGCAGTACCGCTAGGCTTCATGTCCTGAATCCATCAAAATCCCCCAACTTTTTCAATATGGAGGTATCCTGAATCCGCCGAACAACATGAACAAGGGCGTCAATCACCTTTCAAAAGTGGTGTGGGGGGGGGGGGGGACATTCTTTGATTGGTACTATTGCGAGCAAGAAGGGGCCCGCTTAAGGGCCCCGGAAAATTTTGGAATCTACAATGTAGATGCTCTGTGGTGCGATCTGAGGCAATTTCTGACCACTTTAACCAATTTTTTTGAGCAACAGATCATAATTTAAACATCATTTTTGAGTTTTGAGTAATTGAATCAGCTATTCCGAGCTTTAGAATCATATGAAGGCTATATTTTTTTGAAGGGGGACGAAAAAGTTGGGGGGGGGGACAAACAATATGATGTCCCCCCACTTTTAAAAGTGGGGGGGGGGGGGGGGGGGGAATTGTTCTCCCCATCCCCCACCGATTGACGCCCATGCCACCGAAATCCCCTGAAGCAGGGGTGTGGATTTTGATGGATTCAGGTCCGTTAGGGTTAAAGATAGAAATAGCACTAAAACTCCCTGTGAAATTATGCTTTCTCGTATTCTGTCATTTAGAAAACAATAATAAAAGGCCATCCCAAACACGCGAATGCAGTGGCAGCTGACATGTGTAATATTGACCGCTGAGTTTTGAATATATATTCCGAATACTAAATTATTCGAAAATGGACCTGCCCTGCCGCTTATTCTCATGAGTCACGTGATTGTGCCATGTAATTTCTGGAAGGAGTGTTTTGAGTATCAAAATCCGGTTTTTAACTCCAGTGACCCCATGATGACCTTTGACCCCAGTTTGGACATGTGACATGTGACATGTTGGGGCTGGGCTACATGTACTGACACTTCTGACAAAGTTTGGTTGAAATGGGTCAAAAAATGTAAGAGCAATAGACAATGTCAACGCGGCGAGACATGATGATTTGTTGATCTGCTGCAGTCAGCTGCAAATACCCTACATTATGAACATGTGGGCACCACTAAGTGTTTTATAACGCAGCTTTAAGATTACAACACCATATACACGTAGTTTTACCACCGTGTCCGTTTGCACAATGAGATGCCATTACAATTTCCATGTAATGGCACCCAACCCACTGTCAGTAGGAAACGAACAGCCACCAACAATTTCCCCTCCGTGTACTTCGTGTACTTGTAGGGTACTTCAAATCTGTGTAAACGGTCCGTGCTTGAATTACCATTTGAGGGAAAAGAGTCAATATTTACTGGGAGTGATGTTCACAAATCATGAGATATCATGAGATTTGCATGAGACCTTTGATGGAAGAGGCAAAGTACAGTGATCATAAAACTTAATTGAATTCTGACTTAACCTAGGAGTTGAACCAGAGAGTTTAAACTTGCGCCACTGCACATCTTTCTTTTAAAGGGAATGTACATCATTGGCTTTTGCTGTAATTTTCAGAAATGAACTATTTGAGGGGTTAGTATAATAGATCAAACATTGTTTAACTGACATGTTTGAAGTTTTGTGTTTGAAAATGCTTGAAAAACCAAGAAAAACAAAAATTGTTTAAGTAGTCTGGTTCCCTGCAAACAAAATTTGGACGGAACAAATTGTAAATTTGGAGCAGTAGTTGAAAAATAGTTAGGTTTTTCCAACGGTGGTCGGCCGACCACCGTTGGAAATGTATACGAAAATACCATTTTCTTGAAAATGACTTCACACCAGGTGCTATAATTTTACAAGATGCTTTAGACTGTCATTTACCAACATCCTAGTAGGGTATTTCGTAAAAACTTGGTAGTTTAATTTTTTGATGTTTGCAAATGTTGTATATTCCCTTTAACAATGTAAATTACCTACCGGTAAACCTGGACAGAACTTCTGTTAACAGTTTAACCATGGTTTAACCATGGTTTAACTACGGTACGGTATGTGAATCAACGAGTTGGGAGCCAAATGGGTTTTGACATTACATCGATGCGCCAGACAGCCGGAGAGAAAATTGGACTAAAATGGGAGTTTACGAAACATTGGCTTCACCTCCGGTTTTGTCTTCTGAAAATTTTGGAACTCTGGCCGAATATGGGTCTCAGGATCTCTTCAGAAACATCACATCCTTTTGTGGACTATAGGGTAAACTTTAAAGGGTTTTCATTTGATTTGGACATGAAATAGCTTTTGAAAATGATTCTAATGCCAGAGATGTAGCCACAGCTGGGCTCGAAGCCGGGGTTTCAAAAACCTCATGTGAATGCTATTTGCAGCATTTGGTGGCCAGCTGATGAACTCAGGGTATGGCCCCCTGGAAATGTATGGGAGGTTTTGAAACCACGGTCCTGCTTAAAAACTCTGGCTCATTCCTGGCTTCAGAATCATTCAAAACACCCTTACACTCAACCAAACGGAAATTTACTTTGGTCTCATTTACATAGTGTACAAGATTTGATATTCCTGAAGTGAAAATTGACCAATTTGAGTGACAGTATCTAAAAGTCTGAAGCCTCCAAAACCCCCTGCAGCCAAAACTAGAGGGAAGCCTACGTTTCAAAAACACCACAAAGAATTACTTGCCTGCGGGAACCATGC